ATGTCATAAAGGCTTAGTCATGTCTCTTGACCAAGCAATGAGCTGGTGCCCTGACAGGCTGCTTGTTCACTCCAGATAGCAAGTACAAGCATCCTCCATGCCAGGCTGCCCAAGGAATTGACCAAGCTGCTCAGAAAGAAGGTCATATGGCATCTGTTGACAAGGTTTCGGTTTGGACATTGGTGACTGAGACACTGGTTGGTGGTACAGGTCTTTGCCACAGTGAGGGCACTGGGTCTTGAGGTTGGGGTCAGATCCAAGAGGCACAACCATATCACAACACAGACAAATGGTGCATTTGTCAAAGTTGTCATCAAATCCAGTGCATTGATAGATTGTGTGAAGGCTGCGAGGTGCCTTGTCTCCTGGCCTCTTGCCTAGTTTGGGATCTAAAATCTCATAGTGCTTGAGTAGGAAGAGGATGACGCTGAGGGCAATAGTGCAGGCAGCATGGGGGAGATGGAAGACAGTATGGAGGTAGGTGAGGAGCAGGGAGATCACTCGCACAGCTGCATTCTCATGGATCTCACTGTAGTGACTGGCTGGGTGTTTGATTTGTGTGTATTGGGCTGCATTGACCTCCCTAAGGGGGACTTGAAGATCCAGCAGGCCGATGTCTACACCTGGATCTGATTCCCCATCATCATGTAGGAGCTCTTGAGGCTTGTGTGCTTGGATCCAGTCATCCCACTCAGCACAGTTGGGGCCCTCCATGTCCACCTGCTTGCCCTGGGCTGTATCATCCAGCTCTCCTAAATGATCTTGGGCATATATGTCCCCCTGCTCTCCCTGGGCCATGTCTGCAACCACTCCCATATTGTCCTGGGAAGACATGCCAAGATTGCCTTCCAGTAGACTATTGAGCATCAAATGCAGGGCTGCAGATGTTGCTGAGGTATCAAGAGGTGGAGGTGGGGATTGTGGGTCAGGAGGCAGGTTGAATTGGAGATTCAATGACATATGCGGTTGAAATGCCATGGTGAGGTCCGTAGGATCCCCACTAGGAGCATTTTCATCTTCAAGGCCTGAAGGTAAATCGAATGGAATATGGTCAGCTGTGCAAATCTGTGCTTCATGGGAGAGTGGGGTCAGCCACTGGCATGGCTCCTCGAAATGAATACCGTTGAGGTCTGCAGGTGCATTGAGTACTGGTGTCCCAACTTCTTTGACAAATGGTTTGCTGCTGTGGTTTGGCTGTTTCATGAGGGCACAAATGATTTTTGGAAGGGAGATGTGATGGTTGTAGGCCTTCCAGTTGGGGAATAGACAACTGGGTAGACTGTGTGTTGCAACACAATAATTGCAGTCACATCAAAGCTCTCTGTATTTTTTGGGTCCCATGAAGAGGCAAGGTGAAGCTGTATAGACGTTTAATGGAGGGGTAAGCTTAGGAAAATTCAGTGTGGGCACACCTTGTTGACCCTTTAACCCACCCTCCTTGAGTCCTACACATCAACACCTTTTCTGCCTCAATTGTGCTGGGCATGTCTAACCCCAATTCCATTTATAACAGCTTGCTCATTTTCCTTGATAGATTATTATTGATGGGGGCTTTGGTCATCAGCCCCAGGGGAGATCTCCAATGCAGGGCATGATCAGGTCGACCTGCCTCTAAGTGGTGCTGAGCAGCATTAATAGGTGAAGCAAGGGGACGTTGTGGTAAAGTACAAAGGGGCATTCCAGCTGGCACCTGAGACATGCAACACATGATGTGCCAGACATGACATCCTTGAATGGCAATTGTGGGAGATTGCCCCAGATACCTCCCCTTCAGACCCTTTATTCCCTTTTGAGGCATATCATATTCATTCATGATGTAAGGACAGGTCTGGCCTTAGGGGCCTTAAGATATGAGGCCCTAAAGGGTGTAAGCAAAAGAGCAGTGAGAGAAAGACAGCACATGCTACATCCTAGTACAGCATCACTCTGTGGGCACTTGTCAGGGCACCAGCTCATTGCTTGGTCAAGAGACATGACTAAGCCTTTATGACATGGAAGTAGCTGGTATACCTTGGCATGTGCTGGAACCTGCTGGAAGGATTGGATGGTCAGGTGACCTGCTGTGCATGGCTGTGCATGACCTCATATGACCTCATCCTTGGTCATATGACCTGATCACCTGACTAGGCTGAGTAAGCAAGATGTTCTAGCAGGTTCCACCACAGAGGTATAAATATAAGGCCTACT